GTGAAACTCCAGAAAAATATATATTGCAAGCAACAGAAGGAGATGGTCTTTGAGCTAACAGTGACTTACTTTAAATACTATTTTCTGGTTCACAGAAATCGACATTTTTCAACACTCTTTTTGTTGGTGACTTTTTGTAACTGTCTTTTGTACTTGCTATAATCTATTTTCTTCATATCAAATAAAATAAAAAAATTTGTTTAAGTGTTAAAAGTACATTAGGTGTGTGACAAACAGACAAGTCAGCTGATGGTGATAATAAAGATGGTTATGATGGTGATGGTAATGATGATGATGATGATAATGATGATGATGATAATGATGATAAGGATGATGATGATTATGCTGGTGATGATGCATTGCATTTACTTATACCTATAAGGGAGAATTCAAAGTTGCTTTTATTAGGATATATTGTAATAGAGCTTGGGTCAGAGGGCTGTCTAAAAAGCAGACAACTGTTAAAATAGCTGATTTCTAGCTGTCTGCTCTAAACGCACGTAAATTTGAATTTTTTTTCGTAATGACTGTGTTGAGTAATGCGCTCTCTGGCCTAAGTTTTGTTTCAATGTATCCTCATATGAGACACTTACCAAGCAAGCCAGCAAAGAATTAAAACTTCGTATTATTACATGTATAACTTGTATTTCAGATATGTTATGGTACCTCAATCAAGTTTTAATACTAGATGGTGGTACTTTTAGAAACCTGCTCTAGTGAAGAATGTTGGCCACGATGACAACTGCCCCAAAAGTTAGATGTGTAGATTACCTTTACCTAGGCAATTTAAATAAAGCTGTACTTTCTTACAAAAGTTCAAACGCAATGGTGATTTTAATGCTCTAAACTTATCACACATACAAATTATAATTATTTTTACAACATACACACAATAAATGAGAATGTACACAACCTACATAAGTGACAATAAGTGTAGTTTTCCAGTAAAAGTTGCGACTGTATAATATCGGAAGGACTCATCTATATATTGAGACCTCATTTGTACAAGCCCGAAAATTAGCGACTGTTTATCGATTCGTCAAAGCGCAGCCACAAAGCAGTTCTCCTTCACAACACGGATAAATACGCACCTATATCTTTAGCTCACTTAACTGTGATCAAAGGAGAATGTTTTAATATTGAATTGGTCTTAAAAAAAATAAAATACGAGCACCGTAAATGGCAAATATGTGGAGACTGAAAAATTTTATCTATGGTACTTGGACAACAATCTGGATTCACAAAGTATAAATGTTATTTGAGTACGTTTGACAGCAAAAATAAAGAGAAACACTACAAATTAAAAATCTGGCCGTCAAGAGAATTGTTCAAACCAGTTAAACATAATATAATAAAGAAACCACTTGTTGATCCATTAAATAATTTGATACCTTGTTTACACATAAAGCTTGGATTGATAAAACAATTTGTCAAGGGCTTGGATAAAGACGGAAAATTTTATCAATATTTGGGTACAGTATTAAATAAAAAATCAGATGCTTAGTTAAGCGAAGGTATTTTTGATGGTCCTGAAAAACGCACTTTGTTTAGACATAATAATTTTGAAAAATCTATGAACGACATTGAAAAAGCAGCAAGGTTAAGTTTTAAAGAGGTATCAACAAAATTTTTGGGTAACACAAAAGATGTTTATTACGTGTATATGGTGAAAAAAATGGCATGTAATTTTCAAAAATTAGGCTGGCTAACGGATTTAAAGCTTTATTTCGTTGATTTGCATGTTGATTAATTTCTAGAAAATAACGGTGATTACAGTGAATAGCACAGTGAAAGATTTTATTAAGAGTTAAAAAAATTTGAACGCAGATTTTAAGGACAATGGTGCTTAAATTTGTTGGCAGATTACTGATGGATGGTTGACAGAGAAGTGACTACAAAAAAGGGACAAAAATGTAAAGGAAACCCTCTACATCTGTGATTTAAAGAAAAACGTGTGCGAAATCGGAAGCTACTTTAGAATATTATATCGTTAAGGCAAAAACTCTATTTCACCACATGATTTCTAGAAAAATTCATCAACTAATCTTAATCACTGCCCACAAACGAAACGTGGGAGCCGTATTTTAGAAATCTGACTTCAAACTCACTATCAGTAGTCTTGAACAACCCCAAGATAGTATTGCCAATACTATAAGGTATTTTAAAGTTATTAAATTAAATTTCAATCATGTTTAATCGATTTTAGAATGAACTTTATTTATTTTTTATCTTTTAACCTTTCCACAGCCACATGGAGAGCCTCAATTTCGTGAAAAAATTATTCGCACCATTGTTGTTTCATGTATTTTTATCCATAGAATTAAATTCTTAAGTTACATCGATCGGATCTTTTTTCACTACATCTCAATTTTAGTTTCTCTGCGTTAAATTAGTTTCATCCATTTTCACACTATGTAATTTTTGTTTTTCTGCGTTTTTCTGCAATTACTTAAAAAATTGCTGAGAAAGGCTTTGTTTTTATTGCAGGTTTTGATTCAACGTCAAAAATGACATGGAAAAAAGTTGGTCTGGTCAAAAGTACAGACAATTTTCTCCTTTGTGGGCCTGTGTTATAATTATAAATAATCTTATTAATTAGTCCCGAGCAATCTTAACCATGTAACCTAGTAGACAGTAGCCCAATGAACCGTGGAAAAAAATTTATAGCCAATATTTGATTGAAAACTGATAGCTGTAACTATAGCTCTGACCACTTATAATTGGGATCGTGAATGGAAAACTTTATTCGGTCCGTTTTGTTGATTGTAAAAAAATATCAGGCTTGTATTTTTTTTTTTCCATTAAAAAAATGACAGAGACAGAGCAAGTCAAAGTTTATGAGTGGAAGCTTGTGAAGTCATAAGGACATACAATTTTTGTGTCCTTATGACGTATTCTTTCCCTACTTCTGAACATTGACGTTGTCTATCTCTGTCAATTAATGTTTATATGAGAAAATTTTTTTACAATCTACAAGATGGACCAAATAGAATTTTTCATGCAAGATTTCAATTATAGCTGTAAAGAACTAAAGTTGTTCAAAAAAATACTTTTAAGCATAATCTTAAGATATGCGTGTTTACAGTTGTAAGTGTATAAGTGTACCTGAAATTTAAATATAAAAAAAGTTGTATGGAAATCGTATACAAGATAAAATCATGACTTCTGCTTCATGTTGAGTTTATTTTTCTCTGACTGCCTATCAAGGCTTTTGTGCAACTAACCGTATGTGCACAAATTATAAACTTAAAATTATTTGACTATTAATTAACAGCAGTAACTACAGTTTCAAGTGTCTATAATACCAGCTGTAATCAAGTATGCACATGTAAAATTTCTACACTTACAATGTGAAAAAAAATTAAATAAACCCTTGTTTAAGATAATGCTCAATCGATAAAAAAACCTGAAAATCGTTTTAAAAACTTGTCCCTTAGAGACTTTTTTTTCACCATTAATAATATTTTTTTAACTAAGAAATATTATCACACGCAGATCGTTGGTTTGAAAAAGAAAAATCCGATTTAGTGTGCTTTCTTATCGTTGCTGCCTCTTCTCATTGTGACAGTGACGTATATAGGTGCGTGTCAACTATAACTTATCTCTACATCATGTAGCGGTATTGGCCTTAAAAGCAATTAAAAGCGAGTGAAAAGATATTTAATTCAAGCTCTGGTTGGGCTCGAAATTTTAAATAGAACGGCAGTTACGAGTAAATCAAAATAACGTTAAAAAATCTGGTTTTGTGATATATTTAAAGTTTCTCTGCACCAGATTTCTATTACCCATACTTGCCGTCCCGTTTAACAGATTAAACTTAACCAAAGTTTAAATTAAAAATCTTTTTATACACTTTTGATTGGTTTCAAAGCCGATAATGTAACTTTATTCAGGACCAAGCTACAGTTAAAAGAGTATAGAAGTGTGATTTTCACGTGGCTGATTTCTTCTCGCTATAGCTCTTCCTAGGGTAAGAATGTTGGATGTGCCGCAGAACGTTTTAGATACTCAAGATAAAGACAAAGAGAATGAGCCCTTATCAAACTTACTTGATGGCTCCTGGATGGTGTGCTCTACCAAAACATCGGTGTAACTTTAAGTACCTCGTAAAGTAAAAAATTATAGGATATTTCCTCATGTACCTACCTATTTGATATATGCAGTAATCTGAAATAGCACCTCCTGCACGAGAAGGAGGCGATGCTGGATAACACGACTCCACAGCCTGTTATGGGCTGCAAAATTCGTTAATTGTTTATTGTATTTTCAATGCATTTTCGATACTTGAAGTATCGGTTTTCAGTGTCAAGAATTTTTTTAACTGATAAAAACTATCATTTTATAGTAAAAAAAGCTAATAAGAAAGTAATGCATCAAAAAAATATTTTCTGATCAATACAAATTCTTAACACTAAAAATCGAGACTTAAAGTATTAAAAAATCTCTATGCAAGCCATGAGCCAAGAAAATAAATTAGGATTAAAAAAGAACTGACTATATCGTAATTGACATTAATTGGCCCGTTGCATCTCAGAAACATCTGCTGCATTATGGTAGACAGTATTTTCTGTTATCCAGGGACCTTATACTTTTAATGCTTGCACTGTTTTATTTGACTACAACCAAATACGTATACAAGCTTGAGTATTTTTTGCCGTTCTCCTATCTACACTCTCTTTATTTCATTGCGGCATAGCCTCGGAAAAAAGCCAACTTTACCACTGTGCTTGTCATCTGCAATAAATAAATCCAGGATAGCTCACCCCACATGCTCTCGATAGAGCCTATGGTCTCTAGCAGATGAGCAACATTACAGACCTTCCTTTAAATATTGTTGGCCTTTCCTCCAAAATTTGTCTATTAACTTTCTTACATTCATTTCCGTAGAAACCTTCTTTACCTGCTACAGTCTCATTTTATTTGTCATTTTCTTTGCTGTAGTCTTCCTCTTTCTCTTCTTCATCATCTCGTACGTCTTCATCGTGTACGTTTTCGTGTGATTATTCTTCATTTTCTTCAGATTCTTCTTTTTCCTCTACCTCTTCCTCTTCTTGCTCTTCTTCTTTTTCTTCTTCTTCTTCTTTTTTGTTCTTCTTCTTTGTCATCTTCTTTTTCTACTGGAAACATTGCAGTTTCTCCTGACAGAATAATTTTCAAAAAATGGTTTCATATTTTTGCAGCATTTAGTGAATAGTTAATTTAAGAAGGATCTTCGCCGTTAAATAACGCTTAAGTAGAAGCTGCAGAATCAATACCACAGCTGCTATCATCAGGTTGTCTCGTCATTTCTTCAAATATGATCTTTTTTTTATCAATCCAGGGAAAACGAGCTTTAAAAAATTTTATTTCACGGGGGTGTGCTTTATAGTTTGCTACTTTAGGCATGCTATCATACAACCAGATAATTTTTCCATTAGAATAAAATGTCCACCAATTCTTAATAAAAATTCCACCAAGAACTTGAACTGATTTTTTAAAAAGAGGCTCAATAACACTAAAGTCATTTAAATACATGCACAAAATGCTTTGTACTGACATAGACTCGTCAACGTGCTTTAAAATACGTATAAAAACATCTTTTAAATCATCATTTAGCCAACTGGAGATCAGAATTACATTAAGTCTCAATAATGGTATGGATATATCTCTATTGTCAAACGATTCTCTTAAATTTCGTAACTCAGCTTAAGTGTACTTGTCTTTCTGGAACGATGAATCGTATATAACATGGTCGTCATGCTTATTGCTTTCATTGATCTTTTTGTTCTTACTCTTAGAAATTTTTAACGATTCTTCCGTACAGCTAGCATTTCGTGTTGGCATATGCCTTATATGTCTACTATCAAGAATTTTGGGTAGAAGACAATCGATATAAAATCTTACCAATTGACGCTCCACTTTGTCTTTCCAAAATTAAGGTCAACATTTACTTTTATAATTTTATTATCTTAGAGTGTATACATTACAAATAAACAATAACTTTTTTTGGTAATGTGTAGCTGTCCCTTAATCTGATAATAGTAAGCATAAAACTGACTTATTTCATCGATGTTTTTTTGATTAAAGATTGCTCTAACATTTTTGCATTTTTGTACAGCCTTTTCACAAGTTATTGTGGAGGTGACATAAGGACACTTTATCTTTACCAGGCCATCATCTCCAAGAAGTGCATCTGGAAAACTCCCCAGCATAGGAAATTTTTCATCAGTGTGCAAGCCACTTCCACTCAAGTTTTGTAAAGTTTTTTTCACTGTTCTTTAGCCACTTTTTCTTGTTCAATGCCATACTGTAGGCTCGGAATTCTTTCACTAACAGGTGGATACAAAATTTGCTTGGCTTTAGACGCACAGCTTATGATAGGTTTCTACATATAGGCTGATGTAAAATTTATTGCTGTTATTAGAGGTTTCCTCAAAGCAACTCACAGAGGACTATGTCTTGGTAGAATTTTATGGCGTTTAATTTGTTTCCAGTCTCCTTAATTGTCTTTTAATCTGTCCATAAACTGTTTTTCCAAATCATCTATCACTGTTTGTGGTTTATCAAGTTCAGCATGCTAGTTACCATACAATTTCAGAGCATTGCTTCCGTTCCTGTAAATCTTTTTTTTTTTTTTTTCTCACTCGTCCCATCTGAGTGTTTTCTATTTTTTAAGCCTTTCATTTGTTTCATTATAGATTATCTGAGGTACAGTTTTTCCTATTTTTTGGTACAAGTGCATCAAAGACTCTTTTCCACTGTGATGCGTCACAGTGGTTGCTAGGCTACTCTTATATAGTACTGATTTGTTAGACTTTAATTTACTCTTTTACTATTAAGTGTATGACGCTCTAAAGAATTACCTTCTTCAGCTTTATTATAAGTAGCTTTGTGTAATAGACTGTTACTAAGTTGACCCAAGTATTTCATTGCATCTTCAACTTTTTGATACAGACCGATTGTCATTAAATCATATACAAAATTTTAAGAACTTACATCACATTCATATCCTCTATCATAATAATCTTTGTGTTTGCCGAATACATGTTTAAGAATATTTAAAATATCTTTATGGAACTCTTCAACTTTAATTTGCCAGGAATTGTTTTTGCTTTTTTGTTTATCAACAGCAGCCTCTTGTTCCTACCAAATAACAAATATATTCAATTTTATGACTGATCTTGAAGCAACAAAGCCCTTAATCCTAGGCTAGTTTTTTGGTTGTGTAATCTGAGAAACTACTCTTAGCTTTTCACATAAGTTTTAAAGCAGATAATGACTACACAAGATTCTTTTTGTAACAATGTAGTGCTCATGGTAGATATTATTATCAACTATATCTTGGTACACATTACTATCAGCGTCTTTTATTATTAGGGAATTTATCAATTCATGCATTTCTAAGCTACGTTGGAACCCTTCTACAATAATGTCACCTTCCATTGCAGGTATAGGTTTGTAAACATTCTAATTTTTGTAACAAGTTTGGGTTGGACATTTTCTCTCATCATCTGCTCGAACACAAGTTATGCAATATTTACTTCGTACTCCATAAAACACAATTTTTTCTGTACATCGATTATTATGGCTCCTCCAGATAAAGAATCCTAGTTCGTTCCGTAAGATCTTTTACCCAAACTACTGCCTGTACAGAACGTAATAAAAGGTACTTACTTGGGAGTAATGTGTCATCTAACTATTACAGCTGCTTTTGATTCTCCACCAGCTCTTTTAATGCTTTCATCGATGACGTCTACTATATTTTCGTATAACTGCTCTTTTATTGTTGATAACTTATACCAGTATAAAAAGCTGTACTTACCAGTGCCTTGTTAATATCCATGTATTTCTCGTCCTCCCTAAGCTCTAACAAGATTGCAGCTTCATGCTCACACAAATGACGTTTGAAGTACAATTTTATTCGTAAACCGCTTTTAATCGTTCTATCTTTAAGCCAAGTCCAGTCTTGACATGGATAGTTTCGTACTTCTGTAAGTTGTTCGCAATAAGCTTTTTTTAGCTTTTTCATAACATAATCAGAATCTACGATAAATCTAAAGTTAGTTTCCAAGCTGTTTCTGCAGTCACTAGTGTTCTCTACACAGTTCAAAAAGATTTCTTGATCATTTTGGTCACTTTCATGTACTTCCTGATCATAAGTACTAGAATCAAAATCTCTCAAGGAGTCTATGTTACTGCTCTCCATATCTAAAAATGGATTTATTGTCTCAATTCTTTCAATCACATGGTCCCTAGAGCTCTACTTTGAGTCATTACTTTCGAGAGAAGTTTTATATTCCAGATTCGTGGTGTTAGCATCAGTTCGCGTAATGTGATTACTATGGCGAACACCCTCTAAAATTTCTAATCCAACCCAATTCTCAAAGAAAAAATCTTTATAAATAGTGCTTGTGCACGTATCCATATCAATATCACTTTCCAAAATTAAAGGTGATGTAGGAAAGAGTTTGCTAGTGATTTTTCTGTTAATGACTGTATCTTTATTACTTGCTGATTTGTTTGAAAAAATGCTATTGATGACTACAACACCCACAAATATTTTTTCTCTGATTTTCCTACGAATAAAAAAATAACTAGATATTTATGTACATAATATAAACGGCATTTGCAAGAGGAGCTGTATTTAATATACTTATTTTACAATGTACTTCAGTACTAGAAATTTAATTGAATTCTGTGTCCCCAGTAATAATGGAGAAAATCGTTTTCTGGGAAGCAGCTTATTTGAATTTTTAGAAAAAAAGTTAATTTTTATATTTAAAAAACTAAAAAATAAATTTTTTTTGAAACAAATTTGTTTGACAACTAGTTATCAATGATTGGTATTATGGGTACGGAATCATGCTGGTTTTCGGACACTTAGAGCCTCCTTAACAATATTGGAATCCTACATTTTTATCAGTTAGGCAAAGACGAATGTAAAAAGAATGATTGTAGTACGACTTTTGGATCTGCCTAGTGCAGAACACTCATTTTCTATAATTTTCCATACTCCATCTGTGTTATACTTGTGAACCGTGATATTTCCGCCATTGTCGTTACAAATTTTCGTAAACCGATAAAACATTGAAAAATTATTTTGGAGTTTATTACTATGGATATTAAAGGACACCAGACCACTTTGATCAGCGCAAAAGTCTTTGTTGAAAGTAAATGCATACAATAGAATTCTATGATTGTAGATGTTGAATACAACTTGTTTAGAGTTTTTGGGTTCCTAAGTTTAATATTTTATGTATTCACAATATTTAGACTGTAGAAAATAAATTGTTCAAAAAAATTTAGTTTTCTAAAAGATGACGTCGTTTCATAATATGTTACAATATAAATCCTTACAGATCGTGAAATTTTACACATAAAAATGTCGTGGCGTGTAATTTAAAAAATTTAGTTTGTCAGTATGCGTGTGTCTGAACAGAGACAAACGAGTGTTCAGAGAGAAGTTATATAATAACTTATATTTTGGAATTTCTTCGACCAATTGCAATACGTCTCAGTTCATTTATATATTTATTATTTAATTGTAAATACCGTTTGATTAAAAAACTCTGACTGATAAATAATATGTTTTTTTATGTACAGTTTTTACACTCCAAATATTTCAGTAAAAAATTGGTTTCCATAATTTTTGTCGTTGTTTTATGATTTTTTACTGTACAAATTCTAGACTTTCGTGGAATTTTATACGAAAATATGTTTGGATATAATGTGAAGAAAGATTAATACATAAGTGAGGGTGAACATGATTTTAAAATACATGTAATCTTTATGTTTTTTTTTTTTAATTTTATCATAATAAATTTTTACTTTTTCCAATTTCTTGATACTGTTTCACGAACTTATCTTATTTTTTAAGTTCATTTTGTTCTATTTAGAATTTTTTGATTTCTGAAAAAACACTTTTTCAAAACAATATATTTAGAATTACTAAATTTTTGAAAATAGATTTTTTCGAAACTATTGATACATTTATTTATTTATTTTTTTTTTTTAATTTGTTGACTTTGGTGGATTGAATTTTTTTTAAAAACATTATTTCTTGTGACAGTTTCCTTAAATTTTTTAGAATTTACTGCATACATTCTGGAAGATTGTTATATTTTATACAAAACATGGACAACGAATGAAGGTGAAATTATTAAACAAATTAAGTCTGTCAGTGTAAGTGGGTATGAATAGAGAAAATACGTTATATGTCATAACTTAGGATCTTGGAGACCGATTTCAATTGTAATCAGCTTTTTTTCTGTTTGTAAATTCCTAATACCATGTTAGTATTCGTTTGTATTATCTTAGTCTTATTTCACAATTTGTTCCCCAACAAAAGCCCTTATGTTGATGTGTGTTACCGATTGTTATGAAGATATAAGCACAAAATGAAGTTTTAGGTACAATAATAATCGGTTCACCAAAGGAATATAAATGAATTCCGTATGCATGCATGAAAAAGCTTTGTGTTAGTTAATTGACAGAGGTTTTGTACAAAATACTTGATTCATTACTTATTTTTATAATAAGGTAGTGTATGCAAAGTATTAGTTTATGATGCATGTGGGTAACTCAATACTAAAGTAAATCTCTCAAAGTGTCGATATTTACGTAAAAGACTGAGCTTGCATATGATAGACAGAACTGACAAATTTTTAGTCAGACTTTAACACAAGTTTTGTTACTTGAAATGCCACACTGTAATTTATAAAAGTTATATTTTTATTGTTCTGAAAATATTTAACAATATTCACATTGAAACATTTCTATGTTAATGCTAACTTTGTACTCTAATCGGTGAAAAGTTATACATTTTCTTATTTGTAATTGTTGCAGTATTCCATTTCATTGGTGTTATTGAACTCAAAAGGCAGTATATGATGTGGAAAAGTTTTGTTTTAATACGATCTGTAAATTTGCTTCATAACCAATGGATTAAATATGTTAGCAGTACTGACGTTAATGGGTATAATTTCATCAATTTTAATTGCTAATGTGCAAAACCAATTTTAAGGTAGTAATCTGCCCAGAACAGCAACTGTAACAATGTCTACGAATGGCACAGCAAATGTCAACGGTGATTAAGTAGCTGCGAAATCAATTAAAAAATCAAAATTTTTTGCGTATCAAAACAGCTGTGTATTGGGAACAAAAATTGATATTTAGGTCAAAGGTACCTTTCATAAGAATAAACTAAGGCCAAATTTTTTTCAACCTTTTACAGTCCAGCCTGTCCTAATGTGGATGTTTTTTTCATAACACAATTAAGTGAAAACGAGTAAGAGGACAACCTTCTGTGGGCTCATGTAACAATTGAATACTGGTTCTTACTTTCAACTAAACAATAAAGGCCATGGAAAGCTTAGATGATTTGTTTTTGTCTCTTTTCTCAAGCAAAAGGTAAAAAATATTCTCTTAAATAACCACGCCAAAGAATACTCCATTAATTAAATGCTACAAATTTTTTTTTTTACGTCTAATTTTCATGTTTTTGATCTATTTTTGTCAACAGTACACGTAGGTTTTTCCAAGGATCGAAAGATGAGAATTAAATAAAGTTGCTAATCTTTTTTTCACGCATGCTTCTTTGATCAACGTTTGTCAAAGTACACTTTTTTCCATCCTCCACTGTAAACTTCCTTCCCATGTCTACATGAATCAATACTATAATACAATAATGAACACTGTTGTACAGCTTTAAAAGCAGTTATTAAATAATGTAACTTGAATGTGAAGACAAAAGTGGTAAACAGTATTCGTTGTCTCGTTATGCACAATAAATAAATAAATAAATACATGTATATGTATGAGTATGGATTTATGTAAATGCAGATTGCGGTGATCCAGCCGCTTTTCGTTTATTAAAATACACATAGCTAAAGGCATGTTCACACGTACAACTCTTGAAGCAAACTCTAAATAATATCATAGACGTACTATTGACCTTGAATTTAAAAATGAATTGTTCAACCACTTTATTTACGTAATAATTAGAAGACAAGTAGTAAACATTGTGTAAACGATTCTACTTGCATGTGTGGAAAAAAGAATTAAGAAAAGTCCGTTGTACCGATTGATTGTGGCTTTGGATTAAAAGGAAGTTTTTGGAAATAAAGAAAATTTAATAGTGCTGATTAAGAGTTTGAAGAGCAAGCAAGTCTTAATGAAACAAATCAAATACGTAATATTTTGCCCCAAAAAATTTCCATTTCATAATACAGCTAAAAAATATCAAAATTCACCTGTTAAACTCGATAAATATTTTTAAGGTTTTACTCCACAGTCACTACTAGTGACTGTGTGATATTACGTCCCCTTAAAACGTATTTCAAAAAATAGGCAGTTTCGGAACTGCACGTACCAAAGTGAGCAGCCAAAGGAGAAAGGAGAATTGATGAGGTAGAAACAAAGAAAATTATGCATCTGATAACATTGAATAAAATTCTAAGTAATACATCCCAAAAAGTTTGGCGCAATTTTTTTTAGTGGGTAAACAAATTTATCTACTTTGTAATACAATAAAAAGTTCAACACTTGATTGACCTACTGCAGGGACTTTTACACGAAAAATATAAAGTGAAAGCGTCGTCATTTTTCATACAATGTGAATGTAGACAAATTTACACTGTAACTGCAGACTCATGTGAAACTTTTTAGTACTACCTACTTTTTAGAAGTTGACTGAAAAAAGCAATTTCCTCAAAAAAGTGAAAGTGAAACGATACTGTACCAAAAAAAATTATAATTTTTTGAAATGTGATACTTCCATTAATAGTTAGGATTGAGTCAATACTGAAAAAAAGAATACCTAAGGCATTTGTTAAGATACGATCACTAAAGAGAAACTTAGTATAACATTATGAGCGCCCAAAAACTTATCGTATTAATAACAAACAGCGGAAAATTATTAATTGTAGTACCATTATATATTATTTGATATTATTGAGAAATTATCAATAGTAAATCTTAATAGTTGAAAAAATCAATTGTACCATCGTTTGTAAGGATTGTAATAATTATTTTGGTAAGGAGCATAGTGATATCCATAATCTCTTCGTACATTAGTTTTGCACAGTTTATACTTGTTATGACTGTAACCGTATTTATCCTTGCTTAATGCAGATAACTCTCGTTTGACCTGCTGCAATTCAATTTCTAAATTTCATTTTTTTTCTTTTTCTGTTTCCATGTCAGAAAATCGTAATGTTCCTTTTCTCTTACCCTTTTTTTTTTTACTTCATGTAATTTTAATTTTAAGTTGATGGCCTGTTCTTCATTCTTTTGCTGAAAATAAAGCAATAATCGTAGTAATTTCAGGAATACACATACACAAAGAATTTAAAAAAAAAACTAATAATTATTATACTGAATTATTTTTAATCTGCAGGTACACAAGTCTTGAGAAATTAAAAATTGACTTTTATAATATCAAACATGGCTCCAATCTCTTCCTCATCAGTTCAATTTCAAAAATCAACTTTGTACACGTAACAAAAATATCTTCTATTAATATCATTAGGATTTTATGCTATTAGGATGAAGCTTTAGTTCAAGAATCATTAATGAGATAATCGAATATAGATTGCTGTTCAATACTTACAAATTGAATTGATTTCTTTAGTTTGTTGATTTCATATTCTGCTTTATCCAGCTTTGATTTCAGACTTTTGTTATTCCTAACATAGTATGAGATTTTCTGTAACGTAAAATATTTACAGCCAGACGGTATGGTTTAGTTTTCTAATTTTGTAATCATCATTATGATATATATTCATATAGATTACATACACCTTCAGACTTCTTTTAATCTTGTAAGCAATAATCTGTTTGCGTTAAAGCGTGTAGTAGGTGGTCTTTACTAGATACTTGCACTTCTTTGTCAGCCATTGGAAGCTAGAAAATATTATTTTAGATGTACTAGATAATACAATTATAGATGTACTATAAGATACAATGATATTCATCGTTTAATCAACTATTCGAAACTAATAAATTGAGCCTATAAAATCAAATAATTAACATTTAGATAAATTAAAAGTAAATAAGTAAGTAAGTACGTATTTTTTGTGCATAAATTTTATTCATTTTATGTAACGGTAAGTAAATAAAACTAATGAATTGAAGTTCTTATTACACGATGAAGAAAAAAATGCCAAAAAAGGTACAGTGACAGTCCAAAATACAAGTGTGAGAAAACGTATTTACTATGAACCGAAATTGTACTAAAAAAATACCTTAGAGGCCTTCTTCGGAGTAGCTTTCTTCTGTTTTGGCTTCGGAGCAGGCTTGATCTTTTGAGGCTTGAATTTTGTTCTACTCATATTCGTGATAGCAATAATTGACTGAAACAATCAGAAAAAAGTTTGACGTTAGTATGATACGGGTATTTGCATAGACATCTGACGTTCATGTAGACTATTTATAAAGACGTTGAGTAAGCCACTCACAAAAAGAGCCAGTGAATTATTATATGAACTACAATTTACTTGAGGTCCGAAGTCATGCAACTGCGAGTACTACAAGATTATTGAAAATATTACTGTGAAACGTTATTACGCAAAGAAAAAAAGGATTGTTCAAACTGGAGACAGTAAGAGATATTGGACAATACTGATACGAAAAACCCGAAATGTTATGTATGATATATCTTTCTCAGTCATGAGATCTCGAATCTCGGTTATTTATTTTTTTTAATGAAAATTGAATGTGAAACGTGTGCATTGTAAAATTTATATTATGAAAGCACAACAAAGAAGCAAAAGGCTTACCTTTAAATTACATAGCAACAAAAGATGGCAAAAAAACTGTCAAAACTTGCGTGAACACGAGAGTGTATGATATTGTGTTTCATTCAATATGGCCACTAGATTAATACGCTTTCATTTTTTTGCTGTCATGATCCTCGTAAAAACCGGCGAACCAAAGCTGGACTGAGAAAACATAGCACGGCCACTGAAACAGTTCCAATTTTGTATAGAGATACTGCTTGTGTAAGGCTGCAGTCACACTATCCTTCCATGGTACGAAATAGAGCTCCACAATAGACTGTCCGCAATAGAAACAGCCAATCAAAGCTATTGCGGACTTGTCTGTTTCACTCTCATTGGCTCTTTCAAGCAAGCACATAGGTTTACCTGATGTTGGCAGTGGAGTACAAAATCTTTCAGGTTCTCAGAAAGATCTCCAAGGACGTGAAAAGCACTCTGACGGTGCGTAACACAACCATCAAGGGGAGTCTCTTCCTTTCGGTGCATAACTTAAGGGGCTTCATGCTCTCTGACTTGACGGTGGGTGTCAACAACCTGAGTGCTTTCCTACTCTGCATGGCTTACGTCTGCGTTTCCATCGGCAGATTGGCGAGTATCTACTCAGAGGTGAAAAATACCCTGAACGCACGCACGCACGCAGCCTTTTAAGATAATTGACCGAGAGCCAAGCTTACCATTCGTGGGTGCTTGGATCTTTGAGTAAGAGTTGTCAGAGGAACATTGTCTTCGAAGCCATTGACTTTGTCTATCCAGCAAGGAGTGACTCCATGACTAGACAGAATCACACCCTCTTCATCCCCAAGAAGATGACCACAGTAGTCAGGCCCCTGGACACTATAATATAGTCCCTGGCCTGCTTTCTTCTGAGGTTGTACGATCTAATAAGTAGCTTGGTGCTGCTGTATCACCACGACCTGCGTCAACTTAAGTCCCACTGGGCTAAGCGCCAATTCAGCTTCTTCGACAAGGAATTGGTCCTGTTAAATGACAGCCTTAACGCCACAAAGAAGAACATGCTGCAGGCGGCTGAGCAGGCAAACGTTCTCAGCTTCGTTTGCAGGATGCCCAATGGGCAAAATACCTATGTTTGCGAGCAGGGTATTACCCTTAAGGGGAGCAAGCGCCAGTGGAATCAAGGTGAGCTTATACGCACAGTTAAAAACGGTTTCTGTTGACCCGCGGTATTCTCAAACGATGATATAATATTACATTTTCAATAATATTGTTTTTTTTTATTTAAAATTAAACTAAATGCATATTCTAGAAGAATAAGCAATTAAATATTTTCATTATCATAAAACAGAAAGAAAATTTTCGTTATTTTCATGGATTTCAATCCTTGTAAGGGAATGAAATATATTGTTAACAGAATAATGTTTAAAAAAGGAATTGTTTGTTAAAGGTAGATTGGATATTTGGAGGTGCCTAGTTTGCGTAAAAACTGTATTTCAGATATTGATGTCATTTTATTCAAAAATGCCCAAGCCACCTTAAGGGTTGTCTTAGCTCTCATGTGTAGTAAAATATTTCATTTGTTGCACTTAGTAGGAAACTGATTACTTTTTTTGTAAATCAATATTATCCTAAAACTTTTTGCAAATTCATGGAGATGATTCTATAGTCACAAAACTTCTTTTTTATGTAATGTATCTTGACTTTTATTAAAAAACTCGCATTAAAAATATACTATTAATATTATACAAAATCGAAAAAATACCTAGTTTTAGCGCTCAACACTGAACAACTATAAATGTCATTTTTTCTAAATAAATTTTTTTTTAATTTAATCGAGACTACTGTATTAACTAAGATATTGTACAATTAAATACTTATCTAAGTTCATACTACGTTTCTATTTGACAAAATACAAATAGAGTTCAAAAATTTCTAATGTCTCATAATAAAAAAAGTATAGTTATCATTTGTAACCGATCTTAGGAAGAACAGTGACATATTTTATACCTTTTGTTTGTAATGAAGGTTAGGTATTTCATTTTTTTTAGATTTGCAGCCCTGCGCTTTATGTAACAGTTCGCTTCCTTGTCATTTTAGTATTGGGTTAATTAGAATTCTAAACAAGGATGATAAAGTAAAGTAAAAAAAAATTTTTGATCTTTTTTTTTGCAATAGCATAGAATTAATAAATGGAATAAAAATGTTTTCTCAATTGTTTTCAACTAAGATTTAACGACTCAGGAGTTTGAGCGCGATGCGTGCGGGAGGGTGAGGCCCTAGGCACTTTTCTTAGTGCAACAAAACATTCTTAACTAATCAATCGATAACTTTAGAATCGTTTGCTCCTAGGTTAAAATCAAATTAATCGTTCATAGTTAATAAGAGACCATACAAAGCTACTAATAATTCCATATTTTGTCAGAATATTTCGTTGAAAAATACTTTTCCGTGTTGCGAAGGAGATCACCATCTCTATTAATGCGTAAGCTGCAGATCTCAACCTTGGTTAGTCAAAAAAGAAGATTAAAGCTGAAGTAAAGCTCTGCCTTAATTACTCAGGTTCTCATAAATTTTAGGATTGTAAGTCTGAATTCTCGTGTAGTATATGCAAGAAAAAGCATCATTTGTTGATGGACTAAGATACTGATTCTTTCTAGGAGAATCCAAAGTATTTAAATAGTAAAGATTTAATGAATAAAGATAGTCAAAATGCTCAAGTAAGGCTATTTATTAATTTAGCTAACGCACCTTATTCGATACTTTTAGCCACTGTCTGCGATACGGTAGCTCCTCCTTCAAGGCAGAGTGTAATATCTCAAGCTTTAATTGGTCCTTCCTCTCAAGCTTCGTTGATACTTAAATCTTTGGCTCAATTGTTGCAATTGATGTATCAAAAAAGAAACGTACACTAAACGAAATTTAGTGATAACATTTAAACGCTAGATACTTGATTGATACAATTTTTCATTAAACATCCGTTTTGGTACAGTAACTCAATTAAAGTCAGCATTTTAACAAACAAAAAGCTTTCTTTTCATAGATCCTCCACTCTTTGTAGTAATGTTTAGTTAGATTGTATAAAAGGTCTCAAGTTAGCCGAACCTAAGTATTTTAATGACGATCCAATAGATTTGCTTCTTGACATATCCATTTATGCTGCTGTTATCGAAGGCCAGATAATTAAAAATGTCTCAAATAATATTGTCACGTTAAGATCTTCACTAGGATGAAATTTTTCTGGTTTTATTATTAAATCGCTAGCCTTACCTACTAAACCATTCGTTTCTTTAGTAGTGAACCATCTCTTGATAAGCTTTTGCAAAGATTGTGGTAGGTTGAAGAGATTCTGAGCAGAACTCTTACAGTAACTGAAGACGAGTTACAGAGTCAAAATATCTCTTAAGATACATACTGTCACGTTCAAACAAGACGTTGTGTCGTAAAGCTTCCTCTCAAGAATTATCTTGATTTACTAACAGATGCCCAACAGGAGCCAAAAGGAGCCTTATCAATAAGCTTAATCAATATTTTATCGGTTCAAACTTAGACTCAAACGTTATCTTGAACTTACACAATCTTATCGCCCTTTTGTGCAAGAAAACTTAAACTTTATTCAAAAAAATGACTCTTTTAATAATATAAGTTGGTACCTTCCTTATCATAGAGTTTTATGTCTATGTAGTTTAACAAGTGAACTAAGAGTAGTGTTTACTGGTGCGGTGACTACTAGAATTGAGGCTTAACTTAATTCTTGATTACAATTTTTGTTTGATACCATTTATGAAGAAAAAATTTTCTGGCAAATCTAAGTAAATTCTGCCCATTAACGTTTGAAAATTAGTCTTGTGGAAAAATAACTCTCATGAGGTTCCCCTAACCTTTTGTCTTTT